CCATCTAGTTGATACTAACACATGTTGTTGTTGTTGTTGTTTGAACCGCCAACCTTCTGGTTAGCAGTAGTCAAATGCCTTAGGCACTGTGCCACCAATGCCCCATTTATAGTAAATGTATAGTATAGTAATTTATAGAGGCAAAAAAATATTGAGAATTGTGAAAGGCTCCATTCAACTGGGTTTAATGTCATTCTTTCCCAATCAGAGTGGGAGTTCTTTTTCTATCTCAGCCAGCTCTAAATAAGCCCTGAACAGTGAGGTTATCACCTCTTCGTAGTGATTTTGTTTCCTCTCCACCTCATAGTTCAGAATCACACTAAATGACCTCTTTTCCATCATTATTATATTATTATTTCCATTCCCCTGCCCCCCCCCCGGGAGATTTCCCCCACTTTCAGAAACTTGAAGCTGATGTTCCCACAATCTTCTCTCCTATATCCTCAAGTGACCTAGACTTAAATATTTTAACACATTGGCTAGTTTATTTCTGTTGGCATTCACAGTGTCTGCACAACCGTTCCCTTATTTATTTAGCTCACAAATGCTGTGTGATCTGTAACGCTTATATTAGCTAGTCTGCCGAACAGTTGACATGGAAGGATTTTACTTCCACTTCGTTACAAGGAGAAAGATGTAGAAAGAGAGATGATTACAGAAAGAGTTTAATCCGTTTCCTGAGATCTGTGGAGCCGCATGCTAATATTTAAATTGAAGAGAAGGGAGGAGACAGGACTGAGGATGGAGAAGAACCGAGGACATGGAGGCGGAGCCAAGTTCAGCGAATAAAACCCCTGGCTCAAAGAGAGGCACGTTCATATGTGGAGGAGTCACTCTCCCGTAACCCGAAGAGATGGGGCAGTGTGTGCGCTAAGGACGGAGATCAGAAGGAAAATAAAGACGAGAAGACAACAGAGAAATAAAAGGACAGCAGGAAAGAGCAGAAGGCAGAAAAACGGGAGGGAGAAAGAAACCCCTATCAGGTGGAAACAAGATCTAGAGCAAACCGGTCGGGTCCAGAGTTTGTTTTCCTGAGGGAGAAGAAAGTACCTGAGGATTTCCTTTTTTCCTTCAGCTAATGAAAACTACTTTCATCCTCACTGTAAAAGAAAAGGCTGAGGAAAGGTAAAGGCGATCTCTGTTTTATTAGGGAGAGACCTGAAGGGCATCAGACTACCTTCCTGATAACGTCTGAAATCAGCCACTGCCGGGTACACAGAGCAGAACCGTTGTGATTTCTGAGGATCTACGTCTCTTTCAGGAGAATTCCAGAGAGAGTAGCTGGTACAGTTCTATTTTTATATTTAAATGTATATGTCTCCTATTTTCCTTTTTGACAACACTTCACTTATTTATAAGCATGAGTGACAAAAAACGTGTTCATATGGAGTGAGAATATTTTCAGTTTTCTGTTGTTTTTATTTTTAAATCTGCTTGTGTCTTTTTAGAGGGCTGAAGTGGTCCTCACTTCAGAAAAGGGCATTTTAATTGGAAGTTTCTCTCTAAATATATTTTCACACGCATAGACACACGCACACGCATACTATCTTAGAAAGATACCTTTTGGAGATTGAAATCTACTGAGAAAGATGGAAAAAGGAGCCCGGCAACGAAAAAACACTGAAAAGAACCATCCAGGTGGGACTGAGTCAGAAGGCAGCCCTGGTTCCGGAGGGGGCGGAGTAGCTCTGAAGAAAGAGATTGGATTGGTCAGTGCGTGTGGTATCATCATAGGTGAGTCTAATTCCTTTTCCTACTGACCATTCCTTCTCCCTGTGGTGCTCCTCTTGGGGAACCCTAACACCTCTAAAGCACTATTTTTGCTTCTTACCCCTTTAGAGGGAGCTCTGGTAGCATAGTGGCTAAGGCACTTGACTGCTAACCAGAAGGCTGGCTGTTCAAACCCACCAGCCACTCCTCGGAAGGAAGGTTGGGCAATCCTACTTCCGTAGTGATACTGCCTCGGAAACCCAAGGAGGGGTCGCTATGAGTCGGGGCCGACTCGACGGCACATAACAACAACAACCCCTTTAGAAAGGAGCTCTGGTGGTAGTGCCTAAGGCATTTGACTGCTTACCAGAAGGCTGGTGATTCAAACTCACCAGCCACTCACTTCTCGGAAAGAAGACTGGGCAATCTACATCCGTAGTGATACCGCCTCAGAAACCTAAGGAGGGGTCGCTATGAGTCGGATCCGGCTCGATGGCAGTGAGTTTGAGTACCCCTTTCGAAAAGGATTGTCAGTCACTTGTGGTATAACCTACCTGCACTGGTCAAGTTTGAGAGGTATAGGAGTGGACAAGTGATATTTGTCATATATCTCTTCCTACAAACCAAACTAAACAGCTCTGTCCAGTGTTCATAGTAGAGAGAGCAGATAGTGGTCACAAGTCTGGCTGATGGTCAGACCCATAGGGTTCTGATTCAGCAAGCTTAAGGTGGGGCTGGCAGACCTGAATTTTTAACAAACCATCTCCTCAGCATTCTATGGACTGATTCTTGAGATGTATTTAATAGGTATTTTATTGTTTCATGTTCTGTGAAACTATGTTCCTAGAGGGTGTATAATAATAAAAATAGCAACAACAGCAATATTAATTTCACCTTGGGAAGTTGATGTGACAGGGCTGTTTTTCCCATTTCACATATGAAGAAATTATGGAAGAAAAGAAAAGACAGATTGTGCCCTTTTGTAAATGTATAGTTTACAGCTTTTCTGGTTGCATAGTGGATTGAACCTGTCTCTTAAGTCTCTTAACACTCACAGAAGGAAACCCTTATGAGGTTCTCCAGGGGAACTGGAGTAACTAGAATGTGGAGTCAAGGGGGAACTGACAGGTAGACTCTGAAACTGGGACACTTGGATGTCCCTGAGAGAAATAGTACAGACTACCTGAGCCCTGACTTATTCTACAGGACCCATAAACCCTTTGCCATTGAGTCGATTCTGACTTAGGGTGACCTCATTTGTTACTGAGTAGAACTGCTCTATAGAGTTTTCTTGGGTGTAATCTTTATGGAAGCAGTTCGACAGGGCTTTCTTGCACACAGCTGCTGGGTATGTTCAAATGGCCGACTTTTAGGATAGAAGTTGATTGCAAACTGCTTGCACCACCTCGGATCTTTTCTATAGGAAAGAGAGGTTCCTAATATGGCCCTACCTCTAGACAACATATCTTCCTCTTCCCAGAGAGACCCTGGAGATGGGTGGCAGGTAATGGTTTACTACTGCCCCTACTTCAGTGGAAGTGGCCAGCAGTACGAGTTTTTTCTGCTATCTTTGGTAGAAAGTATCTTCTTCCCAGAGAAAAGCTTGCTCAACTGTCAGGGCCAGATATGTTTCTGTGTCATCTCTCCAGATTCCTCTGTGAAAGCTGGTTGTGTCCTGGATTCCATGGGCCAGTTTCTCTGCATGGCTTCATGTTCCAAGCAGTAATACAGAGACTGTTTGGCACTAGAGCAATAGAGACACTGGAGAACATCCTTGAAATCAAATAAAATCAGTCCAGTATTCAGATAATCCTCTTCACCTCTACACCCAGACTTCAGTGATCATATTATCTCCACTCTCTTCAAAAAGACTTCTCTGACTTTGGGAAGCTTTCCAGGCATCTGTAGTTATAAGGAAGGCAATGTTAAAAAAAAAATTATAGTCATGATCTGAATCTCTCATTACTCTTTTTTTTCCCCCTCTTCTCCTTTGTCTCTGTTGCTCTAAAATATAAGATCAGCAAAGTACTCAGTATGTATAGCACATGCCAATTTAAGGTCTATAAATAACCCAGAGGCTGTTACCTCTTTCACCAGTTTGACTGATAGGATTAAATGTTTACCTCCCTTTGGGAAGGCTCTGATTCATACACACTTGTGCATGCCCACAGGCACACAAACACACCCAAACCTCCTTCCTCCTGCCTCAGTCTTGCTCACCCATCCCTATATAAGTTCAGGTATTCAAGGGTATAGGGCATTTTCCTATAAACTGAAGTTGTTTTTATCTCTTCCATTAAGCTTTCTAAGACTTTGAAGAAATAGGTATTTTCAGTATAATAAGTATGATTTCAGTTGAGTGAATATTACCACTGATCTGTCCATAACTTCATGGAAGGCATTTCAATGTGAGAATAGTCCTAAAACTCTCCACAGTGGCAGTACATTAACAGAATAATAATGCCAGTGTTCTATGGTGAAAGGACATCCCAGATATCCCAAATATGTCATTTCAAGGAAACCAGGATATTTTTTTCCTAAGTGTGAGAATCCTTGTGGAGTTGATAGTCTGATTCTATCTCCATTAAGCTAGAATGAAACACAGATTTCCCCTCTAGGATGAGATGGGGGCAAAATCCTCTTCACTTCCTCTCCTGCAGGGCTGCTGAGTTGCAGTTATGGTCATCCTCAGCTGCCCTGCCCTCTTCTAGAGGGGTTTTCAAGTGGATGATAGTGTTTCAAATTTTTCAAAGCCAACCACAAAAATATAAATGACATATTCCATGCAGAATTAAATAATCTGGTATTCAATATCAACACTATGGAAGAAAAGCCAATCGGAAGAAAGAGGCCAACACTATGGAAGAAGGATAATTAAAAAACAAAAAGCAAAAAGAATGTCCTAAATAAATCAGGTGATGAAGTATGAGAAAGTATCATTTGCCCAAAATCTATCTTATATTCACTTGACTGAGAGTTAAACTATATGTTTCAAGTTGATTCTGACTCATAGCGACCCCCTTTGGGTTTCCAAGGTGGTAAGTTTTTACGAAAGTAGATTGCCCAGTCTTCCTCGGAGTGGCTGTTGGGTTTGAGCTGCCAACCCTCTCGTTAACAGTCAAATGCCTTAGGCACTATGTCACCAAAGCTCAATATTAATGGGTGGTGCAAACAGTTAACATGTTTGGCTGCCAACCAAAAGGCTGGAGGATGGAGTCTACCCAGAAGTGCCTTAGAAGAAAGGCCTGACAATCCGCTTCCTAAAAATCAGCCATTGAAAACCCAACTCTGACACATATGGGATCACCATGAGTGGGAACTGATGCAATGGCAACTGGTAGTGGTGGTGGTGGATATGCCAGTTGATAATCTGATATGTCATCTAACATACACTATCTTACTTATTCCTCACAATAACCCTGTGTAGTAGACACTTAGTATCCCTCCTTCCAGATAAAGAAATAGAAGTTCAGAAGGATAAACAACTTGCCAAAGGTAAGATCATTAAAAAGTATGGGAGCCACTATTCAAAACACAGAGCTTGTCTGAATCCTGAATCTAGCTCCTAAACCTTATTTGCTATTTGTATGTCCTAAAAACCTAAAAGTTTTCCTTTAGAATGTGGGCGGCGATCCTTAATTGTTATTGTAGATAAAGCAGTTAGTGTTGTGTTCCTAGTGAGGAAGTGCCTGATATAAGGGAGAGCTAAGCAGTCCCCTAAGGAGCTCTGGTGATACAGTGCGTAAGGCACTTGACTGCTAGCCAGAAAGTTGGCAGTTCAAACCCACCAGCCACTCTGCGGAAGAAAGACTGGGCAATCTACTTCTGTAAAGATTTACTGCCTTGGAAACTCAGAGGTAGTTGCTATGAGTCAGAATCAACTTGATGGCAGTGAGTTTTTATTTTTGAAGCAGTCCCCTGGAAGTAGAAGGTAATGTTCCTGGTGCAATTGCAGGAAGACTTGGGGTCGGCTTGGTGGCTTGGCTATGGCAGGATGGCAGGATCTGGCCAGCACAGGCCATGATCCAATTTACAATTTACTCTCCTAAATGCACCTTTCCTTTATAGATCATGTTCTCCCAGCCTTGTTAGAGGCACTGGGGAGTTCCTGGCTGTTGAGATTACTTTGTATCAATTGTTCTGTTAAGTACCTTGAGGTAAAGAATTTAACTTTACCCAAAGAATTTGATCTTTGATTCCTGAGTGATAACCTGATAACTTCTCCCCAGTGATTGAAGTGTCTTTGATGAGGCCTCCAGACCACACCTGAGATTTTATGCTAATGAGGTGTCTTCAGGACCCTCTAGGTGATAATAGCTGACCTGGAGGGGGCACATTTCTATTAATCATGCATATACACAGTGAGGCCCCAATAAAAGCTCTGGATATGGGAGCTCCATGGGCTTCCTGATTGGTGAAAGACATTGATGCATGTGAGAGAGTAGTATGTTCTTTTCGGGACATGGAAGCTCCACATTGGATGCCAGACCTTACCCTGTGGTCTCTTCATTTGTATCCTTTTTGCTATAATAAAACTGTAATTGTAAATACAGCACTTTCCGTGAGTTCTGTAAGTTGTTCTAGTGAATTTTTGAACCTGAAGAAGTAGTGGGATCCAGCAGGTCAGATGTAGGGGGTCTTGTGGACCCCTGAGCTTATGATTTATGTCCTGAGTAGGTAAAAAGAACCCTCACATTTGTAGCCAGAAGGGCAGAAGTGAGGGACTCCCAAGCTTGTGGCTGGTGTCTATAGTCTTGGGTAGGCTTGACAGTCTGAAGGATTGTGCCATTTAATTTGTGAGCTCTGACCTAGCTCCCAGTGGTTAGGGTCAGAGGAAGAAGTGCTGCATGGGCAGCTGGTGTCAGAACAGAAGTGAAACAGAGGGGAACAGAATTGAATTAAATAGATTTGGAATGATTGAATTCCTCCACCCCATAAGTACGTACCCAGAATCTAGATCTGAAGGCAAACAGGCATGCTGCAGAGTCTAAATAAAAATACTCATAATTTGTCAGACTTTTTTT